GACATCATAGAGTCCTGGGAGACCATTCTAGTGACAAGATGATTAGTTTCACTCTTAACCCCACTGACCAAGCAGAGATTCTCCGGGATGCTGACCAGAAAGGGTTTCTCCTTGAGTTTACTGGTTCATCTTCCACTCTGGTGGAACTGGGGATGTTGCCTGTAACCCTGGTCCATATGAATGAGGTTTCTTTATCCCCTGAAGCTACACGGGGTCCACGCCACCTAGTTCTAGGTGCCCTGTCTTAACAGAGCCCCTTGGGGTGCTTCAGGGAAGGCACTGTGGGATGAGGTGTTTGAATTGACTTCCTCTCAGGCCAGGCCTACGATGGGTGTCTGTCATGTGTAACACGAGAAAGTGACCCTTGCAGAGAACAGAGAAGCCTGGGCAGGAGGAGGCAGCTAGCAGGAGCTCAAAGCACTGACTTGCTGATGTGATTTTAGCCAATTGGAAAAAGAGTTCTCTGCTGATGCTTCTGTTGCTAGTTGAGAAGTCTGTGTGCGGAGGCCCGGGAGAGCTGGACATCCCCTGTCTGATCCAGCCGTCCCTTTGCAGCCCAGGATAAAGCTGAGGGAGCTTTCCCCTGTAAAACAGGAGCAGGGGTGGGCAGAGCCCTCAGCTGGTGGGAGGTCCTGGGGGCTAAGGACACTGAGGGCCTCTTCAAGGTCCCTAGGAATATGACTTTGTGTCTTGACCCTGCTTGGGGTCTGAGTGTGCCCTTTCTTTGTGCTCCCAGTGTCCCTGGGGAGACTCCCAGCTGAGGCTACCCCTTCTGGACACACTGCTGGTGGAGCCCAGCCACACCCTCCCTCAGTGCTCATGGCCGTGACCTAACAGAATGTCCGAGTTACTCGCGCTGTCGTGAGCCCTAAAGGAATTTTCTTGTTTCTTCTCTATCTCTTTTATTTACCCATTAAGTTCTTACCATTTTGCTTTTAGATTCAGCCCCTGTTTAAGAAGAAAAATCTAGACTACAGAGATAGAGCACAGAAAAGGAGACGATACTGCCCTGGTTTAGTCACTGATGTTTGTAGGCACTGTTCCAGCTGACTTAAGCTTAGACATTCTGAATGAAAGTTCTCAGAAAAGACCTGCATCTTCAACTGAACTGTCTGCAAGGCTGATCAACTGATTAGAGCTTCAGTGACTGGAGAGTTTAAAATGCTGCAGGTCTAGAGCCCAGTTGCAATTTCTGTCGGGCTATTCTTCGCCTCCTCAATAGCCATCCCTTGACCATCTCTGTGGCTGACTTAACATCCTGTGACTAACAGATAAAAATCTTTTGGAAGCTGGGCATGGTGGTGCACACCTTTAATCCTGGCACTTGGGAGGAAAGGCAGATCTCTGAGTTTGAGGCTAACCTGGTCTACACAGTGAGTCCAGGCCAGCTGGGGCTACAGGGACACCTATCTCATAACAAAACAAAACAAAACATAAACAGAAGCAAAAACAAACAAAAAAAGCCCCCAGCCAAGCAACCAACCAACCAACCAAACCCTTTTGAATGTATTACCTTAGCAGACCAGCAGCTTCCACCAACCCAAGGGCTCAGAAGCCTGTCAGACACAGCACCTAAGGGCAGTAAGATTCTCCCCACTTTGTTATAACCTGCCCCTCTGAGGTCTCTGCCAATGTGTTTGAAAAATGTCTTGATTTGTGGCTTTGTTCTGTTGCTATAGAAACTTCATGAAAATGTTATCAAATTGGAACATGGAATTTGGGTAACTCGAATCTGTTCCCAGGCCATGGTTACTCATATTTGGCTCCAGAATAAACCAACTCTTAACCCCTTGAGGTGAGAGTTATGCTTTTGTGTCAACAGCATGATATCCTATAATCAGACCTGAGGACCCAGATGAAAAGACGTTCACTGACCGCACGTATTGACTGTCTTCAGGCTTCGGTGCTGAGATTGACACAGTCCCACATGCGTGTGCACATCTGCCTCCTCACAACACCATCAGCCCGGGAGTGGCTGCTTCTCGTCTTTTGTTTCCTGTCCTTGAATCGGTGTCTGAAAGCTCTGAAAGCTGTGGGTTTTGCCTTTGCTGCCGTCAGATGAATCTATGTCATGGTTGTGGCAGATTTAAGCATCAGAAGAGCTTGTAAGAGGAAAGCCAGGTTAGTTAACTCCCACTTTCACTGAAATATCATGAATGCAATGGATTCCTGTGTGAGGAGCAACCACGTGCCCACAGGGCTGGTGAGTGGGCGAAAGGCCTCCTTTAGTTACGCAGGATAGTTGAGAAGTGTTTGCAGTATTAACTAAGTCATATTACTCTAAATGTGCATATATGAAGATCTACATGTCAATGCATGAAGCATGGTCCATATTTTATAAAGAGAAACCAGAGATTAAGGAAAGGTCAAAACAGGGCCTGGTGCTGTGGGTCTGTAATCACAGTGTTATGGCATCTGAGGTAGGGAGACTACAGGTCTGAGGCTAGCCTAGTTCCAAGCTAGCCTGAGGTAAAAGTGAGACAGAAAAAGAGGCTCAGCAGTTTGTTGACTCTGAAACACCACTCTGCTCTTCGAGCACCACCCCAGGCTCCTCAGGGTCTAATGTAATACAGTGAGCCTCTGTGGGAAGAGTTTTCTGTCCCCTGGTACATGATCCCACATACTTTTTTCTACTAAAGAGAATATGTTCTTCAAGAGAACAGGTTCTAAATGAACATGGCAACATTGTCTATCCTTGAATCACTCTTCTTTGTTTTTTAAAACCCCAACACAGTCAGCCTTCATATTTAGGTCAGGCATGCTGCATAATAGAGAATGAATATTACTTCAGATGTTCACCCAGTGCAGTTTCATGAAGACACAGGCCAGGCATAGAATCAAGAGCCTTCCTAAACAAAGTCTGCCTGGACACAGATGAGACACTTCAGCGCCAGTGCTGATTGGCTCCTCTCCTAAGGCCAACCCTGAAAGCACAGAGGCACCCACAGACTTTTACTCTCTGAAGAGGGCACAGCAGGTGTGAGCTGTGTGGACCACCATTACCTTTTCCTGTGAGATGGCGCTGCAGATCCCCAGAAGCCTCCCTGCAGCAGCTGTGGTGGTGATGCTGATGGTGCTGAGCAGCCCAGGAGCCCAGGGCAGAGACTCCCCATGTAAGTGCAGGGCAGGGGCGGCCAGAGTCAGCAATCTGGGAAAGGGCTCTGAGGGATCCTGGGGATCCTGGAATGTGGAGGGATGGTGAGGTCCTGATCTCAGAACAGGCTTTTATCTTAGGTTCTTTCTGTGGAAGAGATAGGGAGGTTACAGCTCCTTTCCATCTTCTTATGTTGAAGTGAGGACAGTGCCCACCCCAGTGGCCAAGCCAGGGTCTAAGGAGACAGAGCTTATATCTACTTCCAATGACAGAGAAAAGAAGCGAAGGATATGTTTAAAGAAAATACATTTCTCCAGAGAGAATCCAGCAGGTTTGCCTGTACTTTGTCTTCCGGAGAATGCTGTGGTTCTGGGATGGAAAGTGCAGGTCAGTGATGGCTGGCCTCAGTATTTGAGAAGACTGTAGTCCTGACCATGGAGGTTTCAGGGAGGCAAACTCTAGGCATGTGAGTGAGGCCAGCAGAAGATTAGTAGTCAAACAGTAACTTGAGGAGGGTTCAGAGACTTGAGTAGGTAGACTGAATTTATAAAAATAAAAAAAAAAAAAAGGTATGGAAGAGAGATGTAATCCATATGGAGAGATGCCCTATTCACAGACAGGAGAGTCCTTGATACAAACTCTCAGCCTTGCTAAGGCGCCTGAATAGATGCAGTGACTTTAATTTACACATTGTACTCTGCCCAAAGAGCTGACCTTCACAGTTTAATCGGAATCTATGTATTTTCAAAACTTGAGCTCTTTCCAGGTTTTAGTGCTTCTTTCCAGGGTTGTGGAGGGGAGGGGTGCTTCTTTCCAGGGTTGTGGAGGGGTGTGTGTGTGTGTATGTGTGTGTGTGTGTGTGTGTGTGTGTGAGAGAGAGAGAGAGAGAGAGAGAGAGAGAGAGAGAGAGGTATGAAGTGGGGGAGACGTCCCACTTAGGAGTGAGAAAGGGTAACACTGGGTTAGTGTCTTGAAGCAGAGGAAACAGGACACCCAGCCAAAGCCTTCAGGGCCAGGGGCACATTATCAGGAAAGCCTCCCTCCCTGGACGCCCGTCCCTCCCTTGAACTCTGCGAGGCTGAGGTGCAGGACGGTGTGGGAACGCGGTTCCAGGGACGTGCGCCCTCGGGGCTCAGACACCTGGGTGTCGCCCACTCCGCCCCTGCCCGCGACTCTCAGCTGCGCCCGAGACCTGCGTCACGGCCGGGTCCTCCCCAGGAAGGTTCCCGAGGCTTTGCGCGGGCGCGGCCCTGGGTCGGCGGGGTCCGGTCTGGGGCTGACGGTGTGTCCCGCAGGGGACGCCGTGTTCCAGTTCAAGGGCGAGTGCTACTTCACCAACGGGACGCAGCGCATCCGTAGTGTGGACAGATACATCTACAACCTGGAGGAGTACGTGCGCTTCGACAGCGTCGTGGACAAGTACTTCGCGGTGACCGAGCTGGGGCGGTCGTGGGCCGACTACTGGAACAGCCAGCAGGACATCATGGAGCGGACGCGCGCCGAGCTGGACACGGTCTGCAGACACAACTACGAGCTGACAGAGGTCCCCACCACCCTGAGCCGGCTCGGTGAGCGGGTGCAGCCTCCACGCTGGAGGGGGGAGGAGTGGGAGAGGCTGCGGGGTCCCTGGGACTGACAGCCTGTCACCAGGGGGACGGGGGTGGGGACCAACAGGGCGCCCGCAGCCCTGGAGCTGCCCTCCTGCCCGCTCCCCCTTCGTTCTCCACCCCCCCCCTTTGCCTCCCTGCCTGCCCCTCATTCAGCTCTCCCCCCACCCTCACCTTTGCCCTGGCCTCGGGCCGCCCTCTGTCCGGTCCCTGGCTCTGCTCCCAGCTGCTCAGCAAGGCCGGACTTCAGAGCTGGACGCTGGGGGCTAAACAGGGAGCCCGGGGCTCCAGGACGGAGGCGGGCCACGGGTGAGAAATTAGAGCTGTAAAAGACAGTATTTTAACTCATGGCAGTTCTGTTTTCCTGAGTGGCTGTCACTTGTCACACAGCTCTCTGAGGGGGAGGATGCCTTGTGATGGGTGTATGGCTCCTAGGACTGGCCAAAAGGATGCGTGCAGTTAACTTTAGTTAAATTAATGAAATATATACATATGTGTATGTGTGTATAAACATATAAATACACATATTTACATGGACACACAGCTGCCACCTCTTAGCCTGGAGAGAAATCGAGGTAAACGGGATCTGAAAACTTTGCTACCAACTATTCTTTATTATTTCACTTCATGCTTTGAAGTAATCTCTTATTGACTCCGATTTTAGAATTTGTGCCAGGATCTGAGGAGAAAGTGCTAGAAACAAAACACTTGAAAGCTGTTGAAAGGCAGAGCTTTAATGTCTTAGGAAAGCTCAAGTGGCCTAAAGAGCTGAGGCTGTGGAATAAAGGAAAGTCACAAACCATGGACTCTAGCTGCCCAGCTGCTTTGGGCAGAGGCCTCTGACGGCTGCCAGCATTATCCGGCCCTTCGGGAGCAGACACTGAAAATTAATCTCACTCACCAGTGAGCCCTTATTTCTAGAAAACTATTGTATCAAACATCATTTGTTGTGCTGTTTGATCTCACAACTACCTTGTACGTTAGGAATCCCATTTCATATCTGCCAACAGTGGTACATTGTAAAAACATCAGTAATTAACCCACATTTATTCACCAAGTCCCTAATAAGCCCAAAGTACCCAGCAGCCACACATCCTTTTCAACATGAACCTAAAATCTAATGGGAGCAAAGCTTGTCAAAGCCAGTAATGACCAGAAGCAGCTGTGTGAGTCTGTTCTGTTTTCAGTGAAGGCGGCTCAATGATACTTTCAAGGCACTGAAAAGTCACTGACCTGCCAGTTCCTAGTCTGACCCCAGTTTATTTACGTATGTTCACAGAACATTTAATTTATGCCTTCTCACACACCCAAACACCACCAGGAGACTTTACACTATTTGCTACTTGAGTCCTGTCTCACAAACATCACTCTAACCCTCTGGTGAAGCTGTGCTTCCTTGTTTTACTTCTACCCTGTTTGAGATGAGCGGGGTTTATAAGTCCACCTGCTGGCCATGAGCTCAGGGAGTCCAGGAAGAGAGTCTGGACAGTGCATTTCAGTCCAAACCCAAAACATGTTGGCTTCTGAGTGCCAATTGGTGGGCACTGCTGGCCTCTGGGACTCCCTGTTGTTCTCACAAGTTCACACTGCAGTCTCTCTAACCCAGGCTGCCTCCACGGGAATGGCAGTGTTTTCAGTGGGGAACAGACAGGGTGAGGTCTGATTCCAGAACAAGGAGATAGTTATTCACAGTGAAGAGATGGAGTAAGGAAGGCAGCTAGTAATCAGAGCACTTGGGTGCTGAGAGAAAATGAGGGGGAAATGAGAGGATGCCCTGCAGCCTTGATCATGACGCTCACATTGGGGGTTTACTACAGCTTTACCCTGAAAGAATACGGTAGATGTAAATGTGGTAAAGTGGCTTGTGAGGTAAAGAGTAGAAATGTAAAGTCAGCAGGAAAGATGTGTCCTGTCGGTCTGTGAGTAGTGACCTGAGAAGACAGGAAACCTGGTGCTTTATGTGCATTATTA